TATATATAATATAAATATATAATACATGAAAAATTGATAATAATAATATGCCTGGCTTTGTTCTCTATGGTGTTATGCTTCTGTTTCCTTTTGTATGTACAACTGAGCAGATCTGCCTGCTTCTTGGCATAATGTCTGTCGTTCTCATCATGCAAGGGTTAAAATAGGAGTGACCAGAGTATGCACACAACTTAATTCATTTTGATTTACACTAAACATACTCTGGTACAGCTTCATCGCTGAACCTGGCCATTCATAAATACAAACGTGAGACCTGTCCTTTTTTCCCAAGCATATGCATATAGTTAGCAACAGAAGTTTCTTTTTCATAACAAATTCAAATTTTATTTTTGAGAAACAGGTTTTTTTTAAAAGAATTAAATAAATTCAAACTGTGAGACTGCAGTGCAACAAGGAGGTCTGGAATAGGGGTCCTAAGGCACGGGCACAGCCACAGTGTATATAGTAAATTCTGCAATTCTCTTGTTGCAAAGAAATCAATGATAATTAAAGCATCAGGCCATTGACCACTGAGGATACAGAAAAATCTTTAAAATTCAAATTCACACCATCAGTCAGAGTCTTTCAAATGATCTGTGGGAAGTTTGGAAGAGCTATGGCTATAAATAATGTAATTTACTGTCCATTTGCAGAGGAATTCAAACAACAACAGTGGCACAGAAAGCATGTGTTAATCACAGAAAATTCTACAGCATCGTAGTACGTTAAATGCGAGCCTTTCTCTCCCCGCATTTAATGTAAATTTTTGCTCTTGTCCCACTTTCTCCTGTCGTTTGTCGTAAATTACTGTCCCTCCTGATAAAGGAATTCACTCGCCCACATGCCACGTGGTGGGGGAAGATGGTTGTCCGTGTGCTATTTGCACGTACCGCCCTGCGCTGTTAGCCCAATAATGCCTTACTGCTGAAACTAAAGACGCTTTTTTAAACGAAGGAAATGCCTGTGCTGCTTCTCTTGATGATTTGTAACCCTTCTGAGCCATTTCTACAGCCCTGTTAGGAGGGCGTTTCAAGTGAAGCCATTTCACAGATCCCTTTAATGACTATTCAGCATGGGTGCTAGGTCCTGCTCAGCTGTTTGCAGGCTGCCGCTTGTGTGTGTAATGAATATTGAAAATATTCCACAGTAGCAATGTACGCTTGGGTATGTTTGCCTATAAAGGCACTGAAAACAATCAAACTCTTTCATTTCAAGGGCTGTGGCAGGTCTAGTATTTGCTGTCATACACCTATAGAACCCAGCGTTACCCGACTTAGCTTATGCAAGTGCCACACTCTGCGCAGCCAGAGCTTGCAAGCTGTCAGTGTATGGATCCCTGTTCGTGTCTCTGCATATTTTTTTACTGGTGCTTTAGCTTTTTTCTTTTTTCTTTTTGATTCCACTTTATTTTTTCTTACACTTGCCTCAGCCCCTAACACGTTCTTGTTTATACTGAAGAAGGAGGAGGAGGAAAAAAAAAGAACAGGCTTTCCAGGCTGGCCTGCTGCTTTGCTGACTGTTGCCCAAATTTTGCAGCTCGCAAGGCGCCGGCAGCCCTAGGGAACGGAGCCTGTGTGACCCCCATGTTCACTGCACCCCACTGTCCCCACCCCTCGGTCACAGACGGCCGCACTTCCCTTCCGAAATCCCCTTTTTTATTCTTGGGTTTGTAATGCTGGGGGTTTTTTTTCTCCTGTTCAAGATGTATCCTCATACTTGTGCGTTTAAATGCATTAATTAAATTCTTGTTACGGAAGACAAACGGATGTTATGCTTTGTGCATTACGGGTTGTTGCATTACTTATTTTCTGCTTTCCTAACAATTCCTGATTTTTTCTATTTTGCTTCCATTTTTGTTGCTTCTTGCTATTTGCTTGCAAAAACAAAACAGGCAAGCCTGGTAAGTAAAGCTTTTCACCAACTTTCACACCGGCATTTTGCATTTTCAGTTTCTTTTGCCTTTGTTCTCTGTTTGCTGCATTCCCATTAAGTAATGTAAGTAATAGTGAGCTGAGCCTGAAAGCGGATCTGCTGTGGTCGTGCTCTGATTCTGTCAATTTGGATAGTGTTAGTCCTGAGCATAGTGTTGTTATTGTTGGTGAGCTGTGGACAGTGTGTGGTGCAGACACAGAAGCCATTTAATTAAAATATTTTAATTGCATAACCTTATAAATATCTTTAGAAATAAGTATCTGTAACTGCTTAACTAAGATTTGACTGGCGGGCTATTGTCAGCACAGTTCCACTAAGCAGCTTTTTAATTAAAGCTAAATCACAGTTTTAGAAAACACCACATAGATCTTCCAGTCTCCCTCCACCCAGATGCCAGTTTCCATTTTCTGTCGTATTTAATCGCTTTGGTTTAACTGCGAGCTGAGACTATCAGGTGCTCATTTCCTAAAGCTCGCTGGAAACTTCCTTTTTTTTTCAATTTATATGTCACTCCCCCAGTGCAAAATCCTTATTTCCTCATGGGCCTCAGCTCACTCCCTGGGCCACGGGCACCTCTTGTGAGGTGCTCGGATCATGAATTACTAACTTTCTAGGTTGCCCTAGAACCAAAGGAGAAGGCAGTTGGTAAAACACCGCAGGTAGCAGCCTCAGAAGAAGTGCAGTTGTGACATTAAGTACGTTTAAGTACGTTACCTGATCATGCAAATGGGTCCTTTCCCCGCATGAGGTTGTGGCCACAAGAGTTTTTGCCAGAGAACAGGATCCTGCCAGTAAGTGGTTTGGAATTAAACTAGACCATGTGTAATCTCCAGTGTGATTAAACAAATCTTGTGCTGGAAGACCAAGTGATGACTTCTCAGATCGAGGGATATAAATGACGACAAATGTTTTTCTCATTTTACTTGAGAATACGTTAATTTTGACATTACAGAGCATCACAGAGTGTCTTTTAGAAGGCAAAACACAAAAAGAATATTTGTTTTTTGTGAAATATTAAATGTTACCCAACTGATGTGGCAGTAGAGGGCTCTGGGTTTCTCAGTCCTGCTGTATCCGAGGTGTTTGGCAAAAAAAAAGTGATACAACTTCCAGTGCTGAAACCTCAGTGCAGGTCCTGGGAGCTTCTCTGCATCACGTAGAGCAAAATAACCTCAGGGCAGGCTCTGCCCTATGCTGGCAGGGGCTGTGCCAACGTGGCATCGTCGCTGCTCTGCGCTTGGTTAGGCTGGCAAAAAGTGTATAAAAGGATTGAAAATGCAAAAAGAGCTTAGTCTCAGTTTGACAGTATCAACTTTGACATTTCAGAGCTGACCAGCGCTATGAAATATTTCATTCAGATGAAGACTTCCTATTCAAATACAAAAAAAGTAAAGCCTTGTTTAGTTCTTTATGTTTCAAAATACAAAGGCCTGAATGAAAAGTAGATTCAGAAATGCCCCATGCTTTTTACACGGGAGAACCTCTTAATTTAGTTTCCATCATAGAAAAAGGAAAAGGGCAGTATAAAACCACTGTGTTCTGTGGGTTGGTTTTCACTTAAGTATCTTTCAAAGTAGCCCTTAAAACATGGACACAAGAATCATATTTTAGGATATGAAGCAAACAGTGAAGCATTTTGGAAGACAATGCCAGAGCTTTTCTTGCAGCTGCAATTTATTACTAGGTGAATTCCTTTGAGAAGTTCTCTTACCTGTGGATTTGGATTCCTGTTGTGTTCTTCCCACCATCCTGCCTCAAATTTAACTATTGTCCTGGTCTGAGCTAATCAGAAGCGGACAGGAGAAGCTTGGAAGATGTTTTCTGCAGACCAGAACTTAGAAAGTCTGTCTAATGTTAGATTTCCTTTCGGGCACTTGCTACAATAATCCTAAGAATGAGAGTTAGCAAAACATTGGTTTTTTCCAAGGGAAGAATTTGAGTTGAATTCCATTAAAGTGCCTTGTTTGTACAGGATTAGAAGAGATGCCAGGAGATGACAAGCGTATATCAGCAATGGCAAATAATTTATTGCCAGTGCTAGTGATATGCATAAATATCCCTTCCTTCTGCTAGTGCATCTTGAAGGGAAATCCAACACCTCCCTTTTTCATGGGAGTAGCTGACTCCAGAGTGAAATAAATCATCAGTGCAGAGATACAATCACATTTTTCCCCAACATCAAAATATTTAAATATCACCGTACTTAGCAACGGTTTTCCAAAACAGGATTGGGTCTTTATATAAAAATGACTTTTCTGGATCCTACAAGCTTTCTAAGACACAACATAGAGCACAGTGTAGTAGAAACTACAGATGATAGTGAAATAGATGCTGTTACTACTATTACCCTTCTGAAAATCCCTTTTTTTTCCCTCCCCGCTCTCTTCTTTCGAACAGAGGACGAACAGAGAGAGAAATCCGTCTCCCATCACACTGTTCAGCAGCTGATAGTGGAGAAGGAACAAGCTTTGGCAGATCTGAACTCAGTGGAGAAATCCCTGGCAGATCTGTTCAGGAGATACGAAAAAATGAAAGAAGTATTGGAAGGGTTTCGGAAGGTGAGTCATGGTAAAGCCCCCTCCTTCCAAAAGCAAAGCAGAGCGGACTCTCATGTCTACCAGAGTATCAAATGCGATCGGAAAAATTGGAAAAGCTTTTTGCGTTGTGTAATATTGCTTCAGAAGGCCTCTGCATGGGGGTGTCCGTGTCAGACTGCAGCCCCTAAAATACCTGAAAGCGTCTCCCCCAAATGGGTGCCTGTCCCACACTTCAAGCTCTGGGATTAAATTTCATGTCATCTTCTTATTTAAGAATGAAGAGGTGTTAAAGAAATGCGCGCAGGAATACTTATCGCGAGTAAAGAAGGAAGAGCAGAGGTATCAAGCACTCAAAATTCACGCTGAGGAAAAACTGGACAGGTAATTTGGTCGTACACGTTAGTTGGTCTCTTTTCAGGAGTTGGTGCCTGTGGCTGGACCTCGCATCCCAAACCTGCTCCTTCGATAGGCAGGGCCCAGGCTGCTCCAGGCTGGAGGGTGGAATGGAACACCCTCATGAGAATTTCTGTCCTGTGCTGGTGTTTCCTGCACATATTTTCCATGGAAGATGAAGAAAGAAGCCAGTAGCTAGGTTTATGTAGCTATGGAGGGCTGTGCTCAGATATTTGCACCTGCAGCCAGAAATCAAATTGTGCCTTAAGAGAAGCAGCTCTGGTTGTTTTTTTTAATATATGTATTTTTTTATGCTTCCCTGTAGTGACCAATGAAGCATTTCTAGGGATTGCAATCAGGACTTATAGTCACATAGGCCCAATAGATGTTTCCAGAATGTCACTCGGATGGACCAGTGCCTAAAGCAAAGTAGGACTTAGATTTGCCTTCCAGCTCTTGTCCCAGCTGTGAATCTAGTCTGTAAGAACTGGAGATAAGGTCTAGAAACATCCATAGACCACTTCTGCCTAAGTGATATTTGCGACCCCAGCACAGATATGTGAGAGAAGCATGAAGGGAATGACAGAAACGTTGAAGGGCTTTGCACCTATTCAGAGCAAGAGAGGGAGTCCCCGAAAGTCTCTAGGGGCGAGTCTCAGAATGCTTTCAAAGCCATGCAGAAAGTAGCCCTGCCATCGCTGCCCGTCCATTAACAGGTGGCGTGACAAACCTCTGTGTTTTTCTAGAGCCAATGCTGAAATTGCACAAGTGAGAGGCAAGGCTCAGCAAGAGCAAGCGGCGTATCAGGCCAGCCTTCGCAAAGAGCAGCTGAAAGTGGACGCGTTGGAAAGAACACTGGAACAAAAGGTAAGCCGTGTGAGGTTCCGTGCACAGACCCAATGATCAGGTACAGATCTGTGTGGCCCGGGGCAAAAGAAAGATGTGTATCTCGTGTTCTCCAGCTCAGGAGCCCGCTTTCGGCATAGTGCAGCTCATCCTTAGAGCCCCTGGAAAACAGGATTGTAAATAATGCTATAAAAGTGCAGCCTAGAAGCAGGTTTACACTATGTATTGTTATGGTGCGCTAGGAATGACTGCTACAGAGCTGTCTGCTTTAGTGCTAAATTGTCTTTATTGAAGTCGGAGGAGCTGTATGTGGAAATAAGTAGGCAAGTTGTTTGAACGCGCTATACGTAGCTGTACTATGTAAAGAGAGCTGTCTCTATGTATAGATATTCTGTTGGCTGTCTTGGAGAAAACCGTGCCACACCTCTCCCAAAGATTGCACAATTTAAAAAAAAAATAAAAAATCTTAACACAATGTTATTTTTCATAATACTTAATACTGCCTTTTATTTTCCAGAATAAAGAGATAGAAGAATTAACAAAGATTTGTGACGAACTGATTGCCAAAATGGGGAAAAGCTAACTTTTAACCAAATCTCTGGACTTCGATATTGAGTGCAATATGACCATTGGCACACTGATGTCCATACATTTATGTGGACAGGTTATATTTTCACTTTTTCGTATGCACTACTGTATTTTCTTTCTAAATAAAGGTGATTTAATTGTATGCAGTACTAAGATGACTATCAGAATTTCTTGCTATTGTTCGCATTTTCATAGTATAATTCATAGCAAGTTGATCTCAAAGTTCCTGTATCAGGGAGATTGTCAAGTTCTCTAAGAAATTACAAATTGATGATCCTAGCCTTCCCTTTGTACATGAGTTCCCATGTTGGATGTCTTTTGGATTTAATATAAACATGTATTACTTGCATGGGGACTCTTGCCTTAAGGAGTGTAAACTTTATCTGCATTTGCTGATTTGTAAAATAAAATATAAAAATTTAGAAAAAAAAAAAAGGAAATGCATGTCACTTAAATGAAATTCTCTATTGTAAATAAATTTTTTTTTGTTGGAAGTTGACGATAAGTATGGCTCTGTTTCATGGACTTCACTAGCTTGCTTCATGTACAGCAGCTCTTTTTAATGAATTCCTTCATTAATTTCCACAGAAAGCACCTCATGGCTTGGAGCACTCCGTGGGTCACATGAATATGCTACTTATGTGCACGTATCTGCATCGATATCTTGCTCTCTCTATAAATATATGTAAATATAGGTGAGATTTGGACCACTCAGGTCTCAAGCATAGGCTTAATCCTCCAAAACGTTTAATACCCTGACCCTGATCCAGCAAATCCCAGAGGCAAATGTAACGAGACCGTTTTCATGAGTTGGAGGCTGAGACACACGACGATGGGCTGGTGGTTTTGAAGCATATCTGTCTCTGAAAGGTGAACACGGTTGCTTTTGCCTGCTCCTGGAAGAATTTGCCGGCAGGGTTTGCGGAGGTGAAGCGCGTGTGATTAGAAGCACAACCCGAATGAGCTAGATAAGTAGCATTCTCGCACACCTCTTTATCCTCTAAGTTATCCTCTGCAGAGGATTAGGTATGTAAGAGAAGCATTAAGGCTTTAATAGCAAACAAACTGCTTTCTTTGGCTAATGGTGCATCTCTGGGATCTCCATGATGTGGACAGTCTTCAGCCTGGTTCTCGTCAGCTCCCTTTTTGTACTCAAAAGTAAGTCATCTCCTTTTTTTTTTTTTTAAAAAAAAAATATTTCTTTTTCATTTCCTACTTGAGGCATGGCTGAGCCTCTTTGCTGCTCTGGGCTTCTCTCCTGGGTTTGTTTGGTTTCGGATTATTTTGTGTATGTGGTTGGCAGCACAGGGTTTTACCTCTGCTATGTAGTATAAACATAAATATGTATGATAACAAATTTAAATGCATATGTGTGCCTTCTGCTCTGCAAGTTTTAAGTGTGGTATTTTAAATATTTTTCAAATTCACACTTGCCTTTGAAAATATCATCTATTAAAATATACTATTGCCTTCCAGCTGAATTGATGCTTTAAGAGAAAATTCAATATAGACTATAGCAAGATTTTCTAATGTGTTTATAATGTGCTTTTTCATGGTACTGTGGACTAAGGATCATGACCGAGGGAGGGGGAAAAAATATGATCCTCCAACTTGTTACAGGGGGCTCTGTTCTGAAAATGTTACAAGAAGGTGCGGATGCAATTACAGAACGTGAGATGTTCTTGGATTATTTTAAGTGCAGATGGTAACAACTAAATAATGTGTGGCTTGGTTCTTTATCCTTAAAATCAGTAGCTGGACCACTTCTAAAGAAAGAAAAAGAAAAATTTATAGAATTTGCAGAATCTTTAGGGGTTATTTTAAGCCTTTTTGCAATTTTTTTGCGTGTGCTTCAACCAAAATCGGAAAGGCTGCATAGCTGATATCGTAAAATATTTTTTGCAAACTCTAAGCACAGCTGTTACAAGTGATCTTTTGTTCCTTCACGCCAGGCGAAGCTCTCCAGTGTTACACCTGTGTAGGTTCTAGTGATGACGACTGTAACAGGCAAGGAACCCAGCAATGCCCGGGTTATTCAGATGCGTGTGCGATCATTAGAGGACAAGCGAGTAAGTAGTCACCAACAGCTCAGACTTGTTACATTTTTAATAATAGAAATAAATAATCGGTGTTGGAGACTGAAGAGTATATAGGGAGCTAAGGAGAAAAGCCAAGGTAGATGTTTTTCTCCCAATCTAAACCCTATTAATAAGTCTCAGTCCCTGATTTTATTGATTCAGCAGCGATGTGATACAAAATTCCCCCATGTGCGATTTGTCATTGTGCCGTGATGAGCCATATCCATTTCACATCACGTGAAAGCTGCGAAAAAGCATTATGAGTATTACCCACTTGTTACTTACATCTGTCGTTTTTAAGTCAAATGACTTCCCGGGAAATTAGGAAGGAGAAGAAGCTAATGAGGCACTGCCCTTTGAGAACGTTCAGAGATGCTTAAGTTGCATCAGCTGCAGCTAAGATAAATTACAATTAGTTAACAACTTAAGTGGAGCTTGTTTGCGCGCTGTAATCTGATGCAGTTGTCTTCGTTTAGTTGTAAGGAAGGGCCAGAGCTAATGTCGCTGCGGTCAGGTTCAGGCTGTGGGGCTGCAGCCCATCAACGTGGGGGTCCACCTGGGCTCACTGTGGCTCTGTTCCAGGTGGTGTTATGAAGTCCTGTTCGTTCAGGTCCTTCTGCGAGCGGGCAAGGCGGGACGGGTCCAGAGCGCCCGGCGTGAGCGTTTACTGCTGCTACTCGAACCACTGCAACGCGAAAGGCTTGGCCTCGAGAGTCACCACCTCCACCAGCTACTTCTTCCTCCTCGTCTTTACGTTGCTGTTGCACCCGTTGTTGAAGTTGACATGAGGGGGGAGAAAGGAGCATCCTGAAGCGAGGAGTCTGCCTTCTTAGAAAGGGCGGGGTTGCATTTCCTAATGAGTTACTCCACGTACCGTATTTCTCAGTAGGCAGACCTGATGAGTGTTGGGATAAAAATAGCTCCATCTGCTAAATACGTCTTGTATGTAAGAAACGCTACCCTCTCCTTATAAAGGGTTAATTGTGTGGATATCTAACATTTTCCTATAGTTGTTTAGGTAGTGTGCATAAAGAGAAGGGGAAATCTTAGCTGCGAGTAGCCTTTTAGTAGGGTAAGGGGACAATGTCTTCCCAATGCTGTTTACTGTTGGCAGACATTCAAAAGCAAGCTAAAATCCTCAAGCACAAAGGGACTGAAAATTCTAGCAAGCAAATTAATCTTTCAGAGAAAGTTTGCAAACGTGACAAAGCCAGAAAACTTGAAATAGAGATGATTTAGTATTAATACAAACTGGTGAGAGGAGGTCATTAAGAGAACCGTGCATAGAGGTGTGTTATATTGTGTATATTTTCTGGGGAAAAAAAAACTTCTTGTCTTTTCTGGTCTTTTGAGAATCTTACCACAGCAATGGAAGAAGAGGAAAAGAAGTTGGAAGTTGTTTTGAACTGCTAAGCTCCCTCCAAAGATCACCTCACTCCCTCTCTCATGCTGGTTTTGAGAACGAGTCTTGTAGGCAAATATTAACGAAGTAATTACATTTTTGTTTCTCCAAATTCTTCTTGTGGTTTCAACTATGTAGTTAATTCACTGTCCTAAACTTCGTTCTTTAAGGATATGTATCAATATTAACGAAGTAATTACATTTTTGTTTCTCCAAATTCTTCTTGTGGTTTCAACTATGTAGTTAATTCTTCACTGTCCTAAACTTCATTCTTTAAGAATATGTATCTCCCCCTCCCGTGACATGATTGAGTTGATCTGTGGTGGTTTATATACCCTTTTCATTTTGTAAAGTGAGTGAAATTATTTGAAGGTCTTTAGAGATGTAAGGAGCTAAATCAACATTTTAATTAATAACCTATTCCGCTGCAGTCTCAGGATCCAGAATAGGCCACATGGTAGAAAGACTGTGCATCGCTAGCTGATAGGCAGAAGGTCCTTTGAAGTGGTTGTGTGGAAACCAGGCGAGATGAGAGGGGACGTAACGCACGGTGTGACAGCACGAAGCAAGGTCTTGGGTCTTTTGATACTGGAGAGTGGGGCGGTGTGTCCTTTGATTCAAAACTCAGAGGGATGGACAAGCAGATGAGGTTTTAATGCCCAGTTGAGATGATCTTGTCTCATCTGTGGCGCACACAACGTGCGTAGGAGTGGCTTAAAGTGCAGCTGATGTGACTGAGGTAGAGGTGGTCTTTCAGGTTCTAGTTTTAGTTGCCCATTTGGAAAAAATCTGATCGTCAAGTTTATGGAACTCACAACATATGTGGCAAAGTAGCTTTTTCACTAGCTTTGTGTTGTGACTGTCTCTCGGTAGAATTCTTTACAAAAACCAATTCCAGGCAGTGTGTCATAGAACTCTGCACTTTCGCAAAAATTTTATCAAGGTTGCAAACTCTAGAGAGCTTCTTCCAGTGAAGTCAGTGAAGCCTCCAGATAAGTATAACCCCCGCCTGCCTTGTAGCTGTTCCCTGTCACATGGACCGAACTCTACCCTTGTTTTATTGTACTCTTTCCTCTGTGTGGATCCTTTCTTCATCTCATGTAGATTGTGGCTTCAGACTGGGACTGTTCTGGGGGTTTTCTTCACATGGGCTCTCAGACAAGGCAGTTCTGGTCTCTGCTTAGTGGCTAGGCACAAGTCTGATAAAGGTGTTGAACATCAAGATTGCAACAATGCAGCAGATCTTGGCCGAGAATGTTAATTTAGGCTTAAATATCTCACCTGTGTAAAAATCACTCAAGTTGGTTTAAATATTTTTCATTTCATTCTCCGCTTGGATCAGCTCCTTCAGCCTGTTCTCCAACAGGGGATACGCATTGATTGTATCTTTATTTTTCCGATTGTTCTGTAATGATAAATCTGTATTGAATGTAATCCTGTATATGCTCAGTGCATTTCCTTAATGAGAAAATAAAATACATGCAATGGCTGACAGTGTCTCTTGATAAACAGATCTGCACCTTTTAATTGGGATTTCCAGTTGCATCTGGCAGTCTGTTTTCTAGCAGGAATTCTGGCTTTTTTTTTTTTCTTGGCGGGGGACGGGAATTCATTTCTTAGATCTGTTAGATAAAATAGTGAATGTTGATGGTTTTCTTACCACGATATTTCCACGATAAATTAAGAAGGTAAAGCTCTATCCTCTTGACAAACACCATCTGTCACTGCTGACTTCAGCCAGGACTCAGATCTTCAGGCAGCTCACAGCCGCCCACCGCCTCCCTTTGATTCTGCCACCCAGCACATCACGGGCTGTGTTTTGCTTTTTATGGGTCTGACATTTCCCCTGCCTAATTACCAACCTGAAGTGTGCACGCGTGTATTTATCTAGCAATGATACCCCCTGTTTACGGATTGATGCTCTCAGAGGGGTTTCACAATGGTTCTCGGCATAAGCATCAACAGGAAGATGAGCAGAGAAAAAAAAAAAAAACAGGAACAAAATGGGAGGAATAATTTTTAAAACCCATTAAAAATTGAGAAAATATTTTAAACTATCCATTGCTGTGACTGTGCAGAGCTGTTCCCAGTCGTATGTGAAGTAATTGTCTTTAGTTTGGTTGTTCTGAACTCTAACCGTTCCTCGCACGGCAGCGTATTCTTGCTGTCTTCCTTAATGTTGACAGGCAGTTGGGACAAAAGGAGCAGAAACTGGTAATGAAATGCCTTCTGCTGCAGCTAAAAATGATAGGACTTCTTTTGCCTCTGCTGCATTGGATGGATCTGTGTAGCGGATCAGCTGGGTAAGTACTGGGTTTGAGTTTAATGCTGCCTTCTCACCATCAGAAAATAATCTCCAAAGCAAGAGATTTGTAATTTCTGATTTATAGGTGAGAGAAGCTCTCAGTTATAACTTGTAGGACTTAACAGATAGCCCCAAATCATACTTTCCATGCTTTCTTTACTTCCTCTTGGTGGTTTTGGCAGTACAGAGAGCATTTCCTTATTTTCCCGGTGTTCTCGAAGACAGTCATAGAGTCATATAATGGCCTAGGCTGGAAGGGACCTTAGAGATCATCTAGTCCAACCTCCCTGTTTTGGGCAGGGACGTCACCTCTCGACTAGACCAGGCAACACATGGGGGCCGAGCAGGAAGAGCCTCTGGGACCTGCCAGGAGGGCACATCTGAGCAAAGTGCCCCTGCACTTTGTCAAAGAGCACACGTGCAGATGTACAAGGACTTCTTCTGTGTCGACAGCCATCCACACCTGAATTTTCCCCGCAGTGAGAGCAAAATTCCAAGCTGTCTTTGTTTTGGTGAGGAATAAGCAATTCTGGAAGTCTGCGAGCTTTAAAAGCTAGATCACAGGAGATTACCTCCTTACCAGCTCTGCTATTTAATGAAAGAAGTTTTAAGTACATCTTGGTGTTACAGCCAACAGTTTCTTTTTTAACCTCTTTTTCCATGTGAAATGTTAGTTGTGTGGCTCTGTTCAGGAGGGATTAAAACAAAAAAAAATCCTTGTACCTTGTGTTATCATGTCTTGGTGTGCAATGAAAGCCCAGCCTTGACAGGTTTCATCATCAGCACCACTCCAAAGGGTCTTGACCTTCCTGGACCCTGTAGATGTTTAGGATTTAGCCCGGAGCTGTCACCTGTGGTTGGTAAGTGCCCTTGGGGAGGAGTTTTATGCTTTCAAAATCAGAAATCCTGATTGCAATTCATGGAGCTCAAGGTTATCGCCCTGCCTACACATACACCCCCTTTTATCATCCAAAGGCAGCAGCACACGGGGCATTTTTAATTGGCAAATTTAGCTGTAGCACATTAACTCCCAGCCAGGCAGGCAAAAATGATAACGGTGGCAATCCAAGTAACAGCGTGTATAAAGAGTGTGGATAGAAATTCATCATGCTGGTGCCTGGTACAAGTAAACTTTGTCAGCATCTGAACAGAACAAGGGAGGAGCCAACGTGGGATTCAGTTCAGAAAGAACCACAGAGGCAGCATGTGGTACTTGGCAGCGCGGCTTTATGGAAAGTAGGTCTTGTCAAAAACATCTCGTTTGAGGTTAGGGATTTTTGCTGATAAAGGCAAATGCATAGATTTTGCAACACGCTTCAGACAAAATTGCAGCCGTGGTGCACAGACTGGGAGTTCAAGAGCGAGAAGACTGCAAAAACAAGTTCTCAGTGGAAAATCGTCCAAGTGGGATCTTGGACACGGGCGATCTCCCATCATCTTCCTGACAGCCTCGGGATGTCGCCGTAAGAACTGTCACAAAAAGAAGGGGCTGTCAAAGTACCAGCATGCCTGCGTCGAGATAGTCCTATACGTTGCCCTATACGTTGCCATAGGGACAGGTTTCCAAGGGAGACGGGTAATGCACTTCTCTGGAAGAAAACCGAAGTGGAGAAATGAGAGTGGGAGGATGGGGCCGAGCATTCTGTGGCCACCCAACCCCCTGCTCTGCGCCGGTCAGCTGTGAAGGAGTACGCTATTACTAAAATTACTTGCACCTTTTCTAGCAACCTGACATAGCCCAGCAGGCAATATTTTTTTCAAAAACTAACCTTTGAGCTGCTAGCTCAGAAGACTTGTAAGTATGGGGTAATGTTTGAGAGGTGAAGGGGAATTTCTCACTCAAAAACATTTTTCTGAAGACTTTCTGTCCTTCAGCCTCACCAAAATGTGGGTTTTTTTTCTTTTTTGTTGCTTTAAGCACTCGAGGGGAAAGGTGTTTGAACCCTGGCAGAGGCTTGTCCAAAAAATTAATGCTGGTGTTCAAATGCAGTCACTGATTCCTACCACCTTCATCTGAGACATCTGTCGTCTTATTTTAAGCAAGGCCGGTCGCCCTCAGTTCCTGATTTTCAGTGCAAAAA